GCTGAGGCTGTGCGGGCAGCGCCCCGTTCACCCCATTCTGCAGATGAGCAGACTGAGGCTCAGAGTGCACCACCCTCGGTGCTGGTAACCTCCACCCCACTGGTCCTCAAATGCTCCCTCACACCTCGAGCATCCCCGAGGCTGGGGCGTGTTGAGTGCAGGGCGCTGGGCCCACCCCCAGAGCTCCCGATTCAGGGGTCAGGACTGGGTCCAAGTCCCGGGGGTGCTGACATGCCGGGCCCTCCTCGTTGTGAGAACCACGGCTCTGGGCGAGGCTGTCACCGACTGACACGTCAGGGCTGCCGTGTCCCGCGGCCCAGGAGAGCGCCCATTCCATCCCACCCTGGATCCCAGTGACTGCCAGCCCGGGACCGAGTCAACGAGACTGTGCTAACTGCGCAGGCGGTCGGGGGGGCGGGGATATCGGGGACCACGCTGTGCAGACCTGGTTGTCTAACGTCTGTGCCTCACACCTGGAACGAGTGAAGACTAGGACTGAATATCAGCCGCAATTGAAAAATAAACGAAATTAATAATGAACACCCCCCCCAAATAATAAAATAGTTATTTTATTATTTTACTTTTTAATATGAAGACTAAGCCTGAATATCAGCCGCAATTGAAAAAAAACGAAATTAATAATGAACACCCCCCCAAATAATAAACTAGTTATTTTATTATTTTACTTTTTAATACATATTTTTACTGATGTGAGAGAGGAAGGGAGAGGGAGAGAGAGTGAAACATCAATGATGAGAGAGAATCATGGATGGGCTGCCTCCTGCACACCCCCCACTGGGGATCGAGCCTGCAACCCGGGCATGTGCCCTGACCGGGAATAAAACCCTGACCCCCTGGTTCATAGGTTGACACTGAGCCATGCCTGTTGGGCTAAAATAGTTATTTTTTTAAAATCCTGATGAAGAAGGAAAAAGATTGAGGATTTCAAGCTCAAGCTCAAGCTCAAGAGAGAGAGAGAGAGAGAGAGGGAGAGAGAGAGAGGAAGAAGCCCTGGTCCCCTGGAGAATGTCACTAGAGAGGAAAGCATGCCGCGGAGCCGAGGAGGATCGGGGATGTGAGCGCGGCCAGAGGAAACGCCCCGTCCCCACCGAGCGAGCGAGCGCGAGGCCCGGTGTTTCATAGCCGGGTGCAGGCTCGGGTGGTGGGCGGTTCTACTCTTATAAGAACAAAACCAAGTTTAAGAGGAGAGGGTGTGTTTGCTGAGATTTTTAACGCGATGTGTTGGTGCTGAAAAGTAACTTAGGACTTTCTTTCCCTCCCAGAAACCTTCAGAAAGTCCTCCTTTGGCAGCGATGAGACGGATAAGGAGAAGAAGAAGTTCCTCGGGTTCTTCAAAGTGAACAAAAGAAGCAACGGCAAGGTGAGGGGAGCCGGCAAGGTGAGGGGAGTAGCGGGGACTGTGCCTCCTGCCAGCGTGGTTTCCGAGGTGTTTGCGCTCGAGCTGCCTGGGCGGTTCCCAAACATGTCGGGATAGCAGTTCCTCGGGTCCAAGGGGGCTTATCCGGATGCACCCCAATGACGGTTTCTCTTCCACACGCGAACCCTGAAGCGGTTCTGGGCGATGGGGTTTATTCGCCAGCAGACCGTGGCCCCGAGCCCGTGCCCGCTGCC